CTGGATTTCCTGAATGTGAGGCGGGTCTTATTACTCTGGGCTCATGAGACACGCCTCCGTTCAGGAAATCCATTCCATAGTTTGAAGCCAACTTGCATCGTGGATCGGAAATATCGGCAGGTTGGATCGGAAAAATCCGATACGTAAATTATGCTGGTATCGGAGGCCGATACAGATACTGGATCGGATCGGCCCCATCCCTATTTTGTTGTTTGCATTTACATTTCCTTTATTTAACCACACTAAAAAAAAACTTGAGATCAAGACTATTTGCAAGGGGGATCCGATTGCTAGCTGTTGGCTGTGGCGGCCATCTTGAACTGGGGTAAATTATGCCCTCCCAAGTCCCAATGATTATTTTCCGAGTGTTTGGATAAAATCCATCCAGGAATTCAAACGGAAAGAAATGCAGATGCTGACAAAAACATGATCACCTGCTTTTCACCTAAAGGCAGCTGACAGACGGTGTCAGTTTATTAACACAAATTAGAATGTTACGTCATAAATTACGATTTAAATCAGAAGAGTGGAGTAGCTTTTGTAAATGGACTGTACTTATATAGCACCTTTCTATCTTATCAAGATACTCAAAGTGCTTTACACTACAATCTGTGTCCTCATTTACCCATTCACACAGCTCTATACTAGATCGCTACAAAGCTAATCTGAATCTGTAGAGACTAATCAGTGTTTTATCACATTCATACACTGATGGGACACACATCGGAGGCAATGAGGGGTTCAGTGTCTAGTCACTTCAGCATGTGACTGCTAGTGGAATCGAACCCCCGACTCTTGCACTAGAGGACAACTGCTCTAACCACTCAGCCACAGCCGCCCCACTTGCCCCGTTACTTTGGGACGGCAGCAGTCCACTTTGAGCTCGGCTGCTCCGACCAGCTTTCAGCTCGTCAGTTTGATCAGAACTAAATTCTTCCTTCAAACCGAGGTCGTCCCAGGAGCTATGTGCAGCAGGTAAGATAATGATAGCTCATAATTTTACCACAGTACCCCAATCGAAAGGTCTGGACTTGGTTGGTTTTCAGTAAAATCTCTCTCTCGCTCTCTTTGGTTTGGCAGGAATGTGATGCCCGAGTGGCTCCCGCCTCGTGACACCGAAGCGCACATTTAGCCGCGCACGCACCTCCACCCCTCGTGCGCCCCATGCACGGGGACGCCAGTGTGTGTGTGTGTGACAGAGGCGGATGGCCTTGGCCACGCGGGACGCAGCCTCTGAGCTTCGCCTTCGTGGGACGGGTTCCACACATGCCCTCCCTTTTGTTGTTGTTTTTTGTTGTTGTTGTGTTTTTAACACAAGCCTGAACTCACGGCGTCCCTCCTCCACCTGTTGAGCCCACCTGTGGAGCCAAAGAGAAGAAGAAGCCCGCCGCTGGGAGGGAGACGCGCCTCAGAGGGTAAGCAGGTGGAGTGATGCTGCTGTCTGAAGTGGGAGGGAGGAGGGATCCTCATCCTTTCACCTGCTGGATTATCAGCACCGCTCGTGGTGCGTTCACTTCCCTGTGGGAAACAGGAAGCCACCTAAATCTTTAAATGAATGTACTAGGTTACAAATCCTCAAATTCAATACCCACTAATACATGAAAAACTTCATGTTTGACCTACTAAACAAATCAAAAATGCTCATTTAATTAGGCTTGATTTAATTAGGCTGTTGGACGCTATAGTAGCTCTTCTGTGCAGGACTTACGGTTTAGGTTTTTATAATTTAATCTGGTTCATTCATGTGCATATTGGGTCTAATTTCTATCAAACACATGCTGAGCTATAACCTGTTTGACACAAGGCAAAAGCATTGTAAATAACTGAGGGGGTTACGTTTACTCCCATTTAATGAATATTTGTAGGTTGCGATCTTGATTGGGCAATTGGGTAATGAACTGCGTTTAATTGCCGTCTGTTTGCAGCGTCGTTGGTTGTCTTAACTTTGCATAGTTTATCATATTTTTGCGTCCACGATGTAGCTTTACACATTTTATGCACGCTTTTCTCATATCTATTGAAAGAGTTTTCACTTCTACGCCATACGTGGACTTTTCTCCTTGAGACGCTTTTGAAACATTTTGGCAGTGGTGCGCAGCTACTGAACGTACTGGCTTCCATTGTAACTGTGCATATCTTTAAAAAGATGGTTTCAGGGCATAAACGGCAGTCCAAGCGTTAACTGTTTGGATGGTTTTAGCACAAAGACCTCTGATCCATCAAAAGCGCCCATCAGCCAGGGACAATGTCCTTCTGGCAGCTTCTCTATTGTCCGCCCTGACCGGTGGTATTTCATCACGTCAACACATCATGTACATCTACACAAGCATGTATCAGATACTGTCACTGGTGTCTGAAAGTATGATTCAATTGTTGAACTTCAGAAGTCCACCGATGCGGTGTAAGTTTGAGACGTTTCGTTGAAGGGTCATGTGTCGGAACATACGTAACGCCGTTTGTATTTTTCCATCTCTTGATTTATGTCTTATGATGCTTTTTATACGTTAAACTATGGGCGGCTTTGTTCCGAGGTGACATTGTGGTACAGTAGTAGTAGTGAACCCCGTTGTCAAAGTGTGTTGTGTACACGCTGGTGTGTGTTCGTATCGGTGAGTCCCAGGAAAACATTTGCTCCCCTCAGCATTCCTTGGATGTGATGAGTCCAGCATTCAACGGGGACAACTTTTTATCCAGTCATTCACTTTGAACAGATGTCCAGCCTTTTGTCCACTGACCAGTCAGCCCAACAACACACACACACACACACTCATAGTCACATGCAAATGATCATTGTGCAACATGAGCAAATATTTCCCCTTGCATAACCTATCCATCCATCCATCCATTTTCTTTACCTGCTTCTCCTTTCCGGGTCACAGGGAGCTGGTGCCCATGTCCAGCTATCACTGTGTGAGAGGTGGGGTACACCCTGGACAGGTCGCAAGTCCATCACAGGGACACAGAGACAAACGATCACACTCTCACTCGCACCTGGGGACAATTCAGAGTTGCCAATTAGCCTAACATGCATGCCGGGGTACCTGGAGAAAACCCACGCATGCACAAAAAGACTATGCAAACTATCATATGAGCTAAGTATGGGGGTTGGACAAATTAAAACAAGTGTTTTGGTGGACGGAAATGCCAAAACTGTTGCATTTATATGCATTTTTAAAAAACTATTTACAGTCTACGATATAGAGCCTAAAACTATTGTATTAATACGAGTATTACTGTATATCTGACAACACTGATGGAGTTTCCAAAATATCTTGAAGGTTCCTAAATTCTTTGCGCGAGTCGTCCCAGAGTCGTTGCGTTTGTTGGGTGTGGTAAATTCAGATCTCTGGAGTTTTCCTTTTCATTCTTTGATAATGTTTTTCAATTCAACCTTTGTTTAGACAGATAAATCACACTGAGCCTCAAAGACTCATTTACAAGTGAGATTTGTTTCGACAGACAAAAAAGTAGTGAAACTGGACACATGTAGGAATTGGAGGCAAAAACAAATCCTATCAAACTCTTTCTTCTTGGCTGAGAAGAAAGACTCTAATATTAAAAAAAAAAACACCTCGCACATACAAGCACATGGAGATGTAGAAAATCCGCAGAGAGGGGGAGACGACGAGAGAGGTGAGCATGTCCAAGGACGCTCTCGAGGGCACTGTAAGAGTTCTGATTAAGATGGAATAATCAACCGGTTCCCTCCGGTGAGATCCATAAACATTTTGGAGGGATGTCGGGGAATGGCCAAGGACAATGCCTATGGGAGTTCAAGAGTCCTGAAATGATGACACAGTGTTTATTCAGCTGGTTCCCTCAGGTTGATATGTACCTAAAGTCTGAATTTTAGCTTTAATTGTTTTGGAGAGTTTGTGCAAACGTGTGGTTTAGTGCGATGCCAAGTAAAAATTCACGCATTTTCTCAAAATTTTCCATCAAACTAGTCGTCAATGGTTGACAACTGGGATGGCAACTAGGATGCCGATGGTTCCATAAGGAAACAGGCAGAAACCCAAAGTGTTCTCTAGTTAAAACTCGTCTTTGTATCCTAACAGGATATCTTCTCCAATTACTCCTCTCTAAAAGAACTGTTTCAAACACCAAGTTTAGGATATGAGAGGTCCAAACAAAGTTTTGGTATAAAAAGATCATTAGTGGAGGGTTTTCTTAGACATACTGATTTAGTTTGATTTAATCTGTGATTGAGAATAATCTAAAAATGCATTTTATCTCTTTCTTCCAGATTTATATTTTCTTCTGATCTCTTGTCGATGGATTTATTACTGAAAGCCAAACAATATTTTAGTAAGTTGGCTTCCTCTTTTTTGATGCCCTGATCCAAACTTATTTTAGGCTTTTTGCACGTCTTTTTGCTTTTTTTGGTAAAAAAAGAAAAAAGCTAAAATATCAGAAATAATTTTTTTAAAGTCCCCAAAATCCATGGCTTCATTTAACAAAACCAAAGCAAACAGAGGTGCAAACATAAAAGAGTAAACTGGAAAACTAAACTAGAACCAAAAAAAGACTTGTATACAGCTACATGTCTTCAAACATTCATTGTTTATAGAATTTTAACTTGCTTATTTTCTGATTCATGAGAAAATCATTGAACTAATCTCATTTGAACAAGCTAAGTCTATTTAACCTACAAGTGTAACTAAAACATACCATCCACTCAAAAACATCAAATTAATTTAAGCATTTACTTGCCATAGAACAAATTTTTAATGGTTTTCAGCTTTTCTGTTGTTCCAGCTAATTAAATCTTGTGCTCATTTTAAATGGATCCTCCAAGTCCAAACGGTATACACAAACTGGAGTACACGGGAAACATAGATAGTAAAACACTTAATACAAAGGTGAAAATACAGTGGGGTTTTTTTGGGTTGGTGTTATCTTCTCCTGTTCATTTTTTAGAAAAACTTTTTGTTTGAAAAGGTGTTCTGCTCTCTTCTACCAGCTGTCAACAAGATTTCTGATATTCAATCAAGTGGTCCGTCTCTCTTTTCAGGCTAGAAAACCGAGTGAAGCATGGGTGACTGGAGTTTTCTGGGGCGGTTGCTGGAAAATGCTCAAGAACACTCCACTGTGATTGGAAAGGTAACTCATCTATTTAAAAAAAAAAAAAAGTTCATGCCTTCCCATCCCGGGACACAAAACCAAATGTTAACGTGTGGAATATTCAAGTGTTTCTCACTTCCGGATCAGCAGTTTCTATGACCTCTACTCTTCTTTCTGTTTCATTCTCTTCCTTCATAAATTCCTCCAAGTATTCCTTCCAACTTCCCATCACACTCTTCTCACTTGTTGGAAGATTACCATTTCTATCTTTAACAAGCCCAACATGCTGCATATCCTTTCCAGTCTGATCCCTCCGTCTCCAGTTGATACAAGTCCTTCTCCCCTCCCTTCGTGTCTAGCTTCATGTACAACTCATCATACACCTTCTGTTTTGCTTTTGCTACCACCCTCTTTGACCTACAGTACATTGCATCTCTTTGTATTCCTGTCTATCTCTTCAGTCCTCTCACTGTCATATTTCTTCTTGGCTAACCTCTTTCTCTGAATAGCTTCTTGCACTTCACTATTCCACCACCAGGTTTCCTTATCTACCCATCTCTCAAAGTACAGTTGCTGTAGTAGCCCAGTCATTTGGAAGCTCTTTCCTACCACCCAGGGTCTTTAACAGCTTCTCTCTGAACTCCTCACAACATTCTTGCTTCCTCAGCTTCTACCATTTAGTCTTCTTCTTTGATTTTACTCTTTTTCTCTTCTTCACAACAACAGTCATTCTACACACAACCATTTTGCCGTCTGGCCATGCTCTCCCCTGCCACAACCTTAGAGTCCCCAATCTCCCTCAGGTTTTCTCTTCTGCACAGAATGCAGTCTACCCATGTACTCCTTTCTCCATTCCTTTAAGTCGCCTCATGCTCCACCCTTTTTTGGTAAGAGGTGTTGACTACATCCATTTCCTTCCTCTTGGAGGATCCACAACCATCTGTCCATCCTGGTTTCTTTCCTTGACACCAAGCCTACCCATTGTCATTCCCCCATCTGTTACGGAAACACGATCCATAGTGTACTTCCGGGTCACACGAATCGCAGTTGTTTATGAATGTGTGTACTTTTTTAATTTAAAAAGTACATGCTCTATCTCCACCAATCTTTTTTTTTTTTTTAATCTCCACTGATCTTGATGTAGCTAATTTATGCCACTCGTATTTCCGTTACAAATCATTGGTTAAGATGATATGCGACGCATTAGACATGACCCCCATCCTGGGTTGAATGATGTTGAAAGGTACGAACACCTTTCTCTGGGTTGTTTGCATCGGGCAGGTACACCAGGAGACTTCACCTTAGTTTGAGAGTTTTAATACACACCAGAGTTAAAGTATTACACAAACAAAGTACTGAAATACATTTCAGGAGACAGTGGAGGCGTACTTCACCTGAGAAGTTGCTCTGCTCAAGATTGTCTGACGCTACTTTCTGTTTTAGGATAATATAAGCTCTTCATGAACCTGCCTCCCTCCCGGAGGGGGATCTTCTCCTATTGGTTTACCACCTAGTCAATCTAAAGTTACCTTGGCAACCACGCAGTCATATTTCTTATCTTTCAAGGAAAAACTAGTTTTAACTGGATTTTGGTACCAGTCTCGAAAGTTACTTTTCTTTGTTCTCTGTCTACAGACGATCCGGCCCCTCCTTCCTGCTCAGTGCTGTACGAAAACAGTTTTTCACCTCTATGTGATAAAATGTGTGAACAGTTAACACGCACAAAAATAGATATGATGTGTGAACAGTTAACACGCACAAAAATAGATATGATGTGAATAAAGTATAAAATATAAAACTATGGAAAAAAATGAACACACAGAGTACAAAATGTCCAGTGAACACACCCAGCCTGTCTATTCATCAATGAGAAAAACCCTGCGAGATACAGAATTTCTATGGTGAAACAGCGCCGCTCAGTGGTGAAGCTGCATATCATTTTAACCATGACGTAAATAAGTCAATTTTAACAGAAATACGAGTGGCATAAATAAGCAACATGAAAATCGGCAGAGCTAGAGCACATACTTTTCTAAGAAAATTGACAGTTCTTACTCATAAATGGAATTATACTCGTACATTTTCCTTAATCTAGTATATTCAAAGGTGATCCGTGCGACCCGTTAAGTATTCCTTTTAGCGCATGCGTAAATGAGCTACATTACGGATCGGGTTCCGTAACAGATTGGGGAGTGACACCCGTCACTTCCTCATCCCCTTTGTTTCCTTCACCAACATGTCCATTCAGGTCTGCTCTGATCACCTCTCTCTCCTCCACTGGAATACTATCACTTCATCCAGATCTTTTCAAAATGTATATTTCGCTTCCACATAACTTCCAACTTGTGAAGCATAACCACTGACAACATTTAGCATTCGACTTATACCTCCAAACACATCACACTATCAAACACTCTTTTCACCTCTACTACATTCTTTGCCAACTCCTCCTTCAGGACCACCCCTACTCCATTTCTATTTCTATCTACACCATGGTAAAACAGTATGAACCCTGCTCCAATGCTTCGAGCCTTGCTGCCCTTCCACTTGGTCTCTTGGGGCGCATTCACACCAGCTCCGTTTAGTCTGCTTTAATCAAACTCTAGTCCATTTGCCTAGGAAGTCCGGTTCGTTTGGGGAGGTGTGAATGTGCAATAGAACTCTGATACAGACCAAAAAAGTGAACTCTATTCTGCCTAAAAACTTAGGTCTCGGTTTGGTTGAAGGTAACTCTAGCGTGGTTCGAATGCAGTGTGAATGCAAGCAGACCGGAGACTGCTCCAAAAGCAGGAAGTGGAGTACAGCGCAGGGCAAACAAACGCAGATTTCTCTTACCTCATATGAAGTCATCAGCTGCCTTGTGTGAAAAACAACATTCTCCATGGTCTTCTGCTTCATATTCTGCTCATGCTGAGTCCATTGTTGGAAAAATGACAAAACAGAAATCCTAAAACCACAAAAATTTGACGCCACTCTGTTTTTGTTTTTATTTCCAGAAGAAGAAGTGTCTTCTTCAGAGGTTTTTGTGTTGTTTCCTTCAGTAGTTCTTGGTGCAGCGCCACCACAGGCGAGGGCGGGGGGAACAGGTTGGCTCGAATGACCAAGTGCAATGTGAATGCAAACCGCCCCAGCTGAAATGTAAACAAATGTTACGAATATTGGTCCCCAACCGAACTGAGGCTACCGGACTATCAGGTGTGAAAACAACCTTGGACACATAAAACATCTACCTTTCTTCTCTGCATCACATCATCCAGCTCTCTACATTTGCCTGTCATTGTCTCCACATTTAGAGTTGCAACCCTCAGTCTTACATTCTGGACTTTCCTCTTCTCCCTCTGTCTCCTGACACGTTTCCCTCCTTGTGGTCTTCGACTAACAGTTGCACTATTTCCACCGGCACCCTGTTTGTCAACAGCACTGATAGTGGTCGTTGTTAACCAGGGCCTTAACTGAACCAGTATGGTTTTGCTTGGATGAATTTTTATGTCTGTTTTGGCAAGTGTTTTTGCCAGTTACCCTTCCTGACACAACCCTCACCATTTATCCAGACTTGGGACTGGCACAAGAGATACACAGGTTTGCGCTTCCTATTGGCTGGTCTATAATACAAAACAACAGTTTATTACAATGCAATGCAGTTTGGTACAGTACAGTACAACATTGCTTGATACAATACAAGACTATCTTGTTTGATACATTAAAAAACAATTTGTGGTTTAAAGAAATATGATAAATTAAAATGTAATATGAAACAGTTCAAAGCAATCCAACAAAATACTCTATGTGAACTATCTTGAGGCTCACTAATCTATGGAGATAAACCTAACAAGGTTGAGTCAGGTCCTCTGGACGGATTTTTCTTGTAGAAACATTTTGTCTTTTATGCAAAAGCCTCCTTCAGTCAGACTGAAGAAGTCTTTTGGATAAAAGACGAAACGTTTCAACAAGAGGATCACACTGAACACAGATAATTTTTCCTATGAAACAATGTTTTTTTATCCGTTGTTGAAAGCTTTTACCAAACTACAGAAGACTTTTGTCTTAAGGTAAAAGCAGTGACCGTCTCTTTCATTGTATTTTTTGTAAACTGCTGTTTTCTGACTTTTCCTTTCCAGGTTTGGCTCACTGTCCTTTTTATTTTCCGCATCTTGGTTTTGGGCGCAGCAGCTGAGGAGGTTTGGGGTGACGAGCAGTCAGACTTTACTTGTAATACGCAGCAGCCTGGTTGTGAGAACGTCTGCTATGACGAGGCCTTCCCAATCTCTCACATCCGTTTCTGGGTGCTGCAGATCATCTTTGTTTCCACGCCAACCCTCATCTACCTGGGCCATGTGCTACACATTGTCCGCATGGAGGAGAAGAGAAGGGAGAGGGAGGAAGACCTCAGAAAGGCGGCACAGCACCTTGAGGATCATGACCCTCTGTATCACAATGGGATTGGCAATGGAGGAGGAAGAGGTGGGAGGAAAGAAAGACCCCCAATCCGTGATGAGCACGGCAAGATCCGGATTCGTGGCGCTTTACTAAGAACATATATCTTCAACATCATCTTCAAGACTCTATTTGAGGTGGGCTTCATTTTGGGACAGTACTTCCTCTACGGCTTCCGCCTGAGGCCCCTGTATAAATGTGGCCGCTGGCCCTGCCCCAATACTGTGGACTGCTTCATCTCCAGGTTAGAGAGAACAACTCTATTCCTCTATTTACTTCCCTACGTAAAATGCTTGGGCAAGTTTTCTTAAAACAGTACAACGTTTAGTGCGTGATTTTTGGGTTGGGTTGTGGTATCAACTGAACAGGTGAGGTTAAAGCTACATTGTACCAGATAGGGGTGTCCCAATACTAGTTTTTTCAGACCGAGTACAAGTAAAAGTATTTCAGTTTGGAAATTTGCTGATACAAAATAGAGATATAGAGCAGTTATTGAGTTAGTACTTCAACATTACACGACTTTAGAAACACCTTTTGTTCTTACAAACACAACAGACGGCTGACTTCACCAGTCTTTAAAAAATCTCCAAACTATAGAAAATATTTTACTTTTTGCCCTCGGTTATTTATGAATTGGAAAAGGAAATTTCATCACCAAACATTTAGGTGTCCATAGTATTGGTGTGTTTTTATGAATACAAGTACAACTTTTAGGACAGTTACTGGGCTTGATACCAATACCAGTATCGTTATTGAGACACCACTAGCACCAAATAATGGCAGGCAAACATTTGGACATTTTGAGTTAGCCCCCAATAAACCAATCTTTAATGAGCATAAAGTTAAAAATTAATGGGTTTTTTTGTACTTTCATGGAGGATTTGAACACTTTTTTTATGATAACTTATTTATGAACTTTGAACACAAAGGTACAATTACAGCAAGTACAGAACCCAACAATATTTTCACAATTTAAGGTCAATACTTGGTTTTTCATTTGGCAGCACAATGGTTTAGTGGTTAGCACCAATATCTCAGCATTTAGGTCCTGGGTTAAATCCCTGGTTTGGGCCTAGGGCACTACCGGGGACTACCACTTGTGACTTTACATTAAGTGCCACGAGATGAATATATATTAGAAAATGGTATTTGGTCTAATGGTGCCTCCTCAGATGTGCACATACTGAAAATCGGATTTTCTTACAAAAAAAAATAACCATTTTGCTTTCTTTGTTGTACCAGGCCCACTGAAAAGACCATCTTTATCATCTTCATGCTTGTGGTAGCATGCATCTCCTTGGCCCTCAACCTACTGGAGATTTACCACCTGGGCTGGAAGAAAGTCAAGCAGGGGGTCACCAAGGATTTTGTTCACGACAGTCAGTCAATGTTGGGGGATAAGCCTGGAGATACGGAATTGATTCCAGAACAGACGTCTCCATCAGCGCTCAAATCTTTGCCAACTTATGCTAATGTGAGTGTGGTGGAGGATGAAGAAATTGAAGGAGCTTACAGTCAATCCAGGACCTCCCGCACCATGACCTCCCTAAACCAGGGCATGGCCACTGCACTTACACCTGCAGGATCTACATTGGAAGGTGCTGCTTCCCAATCAGATGACTTCCTGTTGGAAGCGTTGCCTCCTTCATTTTATGACAAAAGTGAGAGTTTGGGGAGTCATGGACACCTGGTGGAGATGGAGCAGAACTGGTACAACACGGCTTTGGAGCATCACAATCGAAATGGAAAGCGTTCCTCCTCATATCCTCCTCCTCTTGCCTCTGGCTCCTCCTCTCCCGAGGACAATATGGTACTTTCGCAGGAAAAGCGACACTCCATGTTTCCCACACTCCCTCTCAATACCCCTCTTTCCTCTCTTGCACCAGAGGAGACGGAGGAAATCACTGTGGCCAAAGCACCTTGCAAGGTGCTACAGGATGACTTCACAGTGGTAACCAGAGCAGAGATGCATCAGCCTCCTGCAGATACAGGAACAGACTTCAGGAAGCTAAGCCGGGGAATCAAGAGCGGCGGCGCTCGAGCTCGTCCTGATGATCTGGCAGTGTAGCACAAACATTGACATGCTAATGTATACAGCTCTTTAAGAGATGCAGTATTTACACATATGCAGAGTAGCATAAAATTAGATCTAACCATGCTCTACAAGGTAACACTGGTCTTTTGCAACCATTTTGTATGAGAGCCAGAAGACCAGTATCATTCCTACATTTGAGTGAAAAATACGGAGCTGAAGAATCGGTAATAGATATTAGCGTGTGTACGAGAAACAATGGTGCTCTTGGCGACAGAACAACCAATGTTGCGCTAGGATCACCAACGTCATTACTAATCATGGCCCCCATTTATATTTAATTATAAACTAATGTTTCAATTTTAAAACTAAAATATTCAAAAATTCAACTAGAGTCCAACTTTTCTAACAATGAGACAAAGAAGCTACATGAGACAGCGTTAAAATAAGCAATGCACCTGACAGAAGTGGATTGAGAAACTATAGCACTGACTTGAATTTTACTCTCTTGAAAAACGTAGTTTGTTAACTTGAATACAAATTTAAAACTTGAAACATTTATAAATCTTAGCACAAAACATAAACAAAGGGGCCGAGATGGGGTCGAGGCAGGGCAGCCGACTTGGTACCAGAAAGTCATAGGTTGAACTCCTCGCCATGCCCACATGTTGTGGTGTCTTTGAGCAAGACACCCAATCCCTAACTGCTCCCTGGGTGCCAACATAGCTGCCCACTGCTCCACCTGGACATATCTCACAGGTGATGGGTTACATGTAGAGCACAAATTTTTTCATTATATGGGAACATACGTACATTGATGACAATACATAGCACTTAAAAAAACAAAACACATTTGATCCCATGCATAAATGGAAAAGCAGCATTTCAGTCAAAACAGAAATCTACGTTTTCCAGAAAAGACCAGCCTATTCTTTCTCCTCATTAGTAAACTAAATGAAGACTTTGACCAGATTTGGCTCCAGTTGCCATTGTCAGAAACACAAAAGTACAAATGCTATGTTTTTAAAACGTGTATCCTGCCGACTGCGGTGGACCACTTGTTTGTAATAATAACAACCTTCTGACATAGTAGCTCATTTTAATTCAATAAATCTAGATTCCTGAAGTCCCTGTGAATTAGCACTACTTTCTGAGAAACGGCTACATCACGTAAGCTACATGTAGCTTACTTTCAAAATGTTTACATTCTTTTCTTTTTTTTGTATACGAATCAAGAAAATTAGACAATAGCAAATAGGTTGCTAAATTCTTTCATTTAGTTGCTTTATAGACTCTGGGGCTATTTGAAATAATTGTATTTTTTAGATTAGAATATGGATAAGGTTTTTCCTGCTCTTTCCAGCCTACTAGGTGATGGCTAGGCTAGCTGTTTGCTCTGCCTTTAGCATTCATGCTAAGCTAAGCTAATCTGTTTACTAATTAAATTTTTGTAGTTATTGCCCAAACACTTGAATGTTATTGATCCAACTCTAAAAAAAAAAAAAAAAAAAAGTTAATCATTTCACTTTAAGAAATACAGCTTGTATTCATGTTTTCAACAGCTAAAGATTAGCGATAAGGCTCGTGGAAAAAGCGCAAATCTCCCGCCAAAAAAGGCGTACTGCTTGGGCCATACTTTCATTTTTGTTTGACTATGTAAGATTACTGAAAACCAAAGACCATCTACACACATTTAGAGCATACATGCGGTCAGCACAAAGTATGGATTAGATAGATGATGGTTGGACAAACTGATTTTTGGAACACAGAGGTGGCATTATTTTTACATTTCAGTATTTATTTTGTTTCTTTGTTAGGAGACATTTAAGAAGAGGTTTGCACTTTTATTTCTTTAATTTTCTTGTGACGATGGAACTGATCGGTCTGTGGGTTTGTTAGCATTGTTTCTATTAGTGGAATGCTCCCACGCAGCCTGTAGTTTCAATGACGAGCGGGACAATCGAGTGTTAGCACAGAGCCGATGGCGATCCCACCCTGAGACGCAAAGAGCTGCGAGCACGTTCGTGTTTAGATGCTATAATCTTGTTTTATGTTTACAAAATGACATCTGCAGTTTCATCAGTGTTCAACTATATAAAGTCTATACATATGTAAATATAATTGCATAATAGTGTTCACTAACACCACAAGGTGTTAATTAGAACGTTTTATAAAAGTTTGTCTCTGATTAAGCTGCAGTGTAGATTTTCACCAAGAAAACCTAAAAAAAAAAAAAAAGTTTTCTGACTTTGCCTAATTAATAAATTCTGTGTTGAAACAGATGAAACAACAAAATGATAATTATATATTTTTTTATTTTTTAAGCAATTTTAAGTTTTCTTGCTTAAACGGAACAACAAAAAAATCGTCATGTTTTCTTTGATTGTTTGCGGTGTGTTACAAATCTGTAAAGTTAACTTTCTAGATTAGTTGCGAAAAATTGTGTATTTCAAAAAAAAAAGATCTAAAAAGTTTTTCGTTGTTGTTGATTCAGACATTGCACAAAGGAATGTTTCTTTTTCCTGTTTTTATTATTATTATTTTTTTTTTTTTATAATTTCCTGCCTAAATAAAAGGAAAAAGTAACAAAATGTGGTGCATGCTATGTGGGTTCTCTTATCCTGCCCAGCAGCGACTTTCAAAAATTGCAATTTATTTAATTTATTCAACGCTTCTGGAGTTAAAAAATAAAATAAGGCAGTTTAATGTTGCAGAATGAGGTACTGTATTTTTCACCATATAAGTTGCGGTTTTTTTTTTTTGCACAATTTACATGCCCTGCGACTTATGGGCCGAAGCGACATATTTATGGACTTTTCCAATATTTATAAACCAATTTTTGGCTGAGATATGACCGTTTTCATTCATTCTGACTGAAAAGATTGAACACTACCATTTTCAGCCGCTAGATGGCACTTGAGTGTATGGCATGTCGTTGTATCATGTAATAGGTAAAGCGGCTATTAATGACAAAATCAAAAAAGTTCAAGACAAAAAAAAAAACTGGACTTCATTTATTATACTTTACTTTATTGTTTTTGTCTTGAACTTTTTTTTAAATTTACCATGTCCTGGATGACTGAGAATCTTCACCAGCTATTAATGACACAATCGGCTTGCCACATCACCTTCGTTCTGCTCAACGCTTGGAGCAACCGTCAAATCAGCTTCAGTTCGCTGCGCCGCCCCGGCGAAATGCAGTTAATTTGACCAATGAAGTGCATTTATGAAGTAAAAGTTCAACTGAGACACACCTTTGCTATAATTTTGAGCAAACAAATAATTGTTTTAGGTGCTTATCTTGTTCAATTTAGAAGAAACGCATAGCGTTCCTCCTTCCTTTTTTCCTCCCCGTCTGTGCGCTCCTGGGAGCACCGAGGCAGCGGATACGTACTTTTGAAATAAAGCTGATTTGACCGTTCAACCAAAGATTAAGAGTGTTAGGATTTTTTTTTTTTTTGTCTCCAAACCCTATGTGTCATTTTTCACCACTTTTTATTGTCTGTCCAAACAGGTTTCACTTGTAAATGAGTCTTCGAGGCTCAATGTGACTTATCTGTTTAAATAAAGGTTGAATGAATGAAAAAGGAAACGCTCTCTCGTCATCAGCTTCTTAGCTTTTGTAACTGGTTGACGACACGACAAAAATAAATCCAACTTGTGAAGGTGGAACAGTTGAGTTAGATAAATGTCCCCCTGTTGCCCATAAAAAAGGAGGTTATCGGATTGAATCCTGCAGGGACCTTTCTGGGTGGAGTTTGCATGTTCTCTCTGTGCATGCGTGGGTTTTCTCCAGGTTTCCTCCAACAGAACAAAAACTTACATGTTAATTGGTAACTTTAAATTGCTAATGCTAATTGCTAACATAATTGGTAACCCTAATTTTTCCCTATGTGTGAGTGAGAGTGAATGGTTGTTCGTCTCATTTGTCTCTATGAGTCCCTGTGATGGACTGGAGACATGTCCAGGGTGTCCCCTTCCTTGTTCACAGTGACCGCAGGACATAACCCCCACAATTCAGAAAAGCAGCAGCTGGTAAAGATGGAAGTTTGAAGGTGGACCACACATGCAACTGGTTACTGGGATACCTTGGGCCAAATGCTGATGATTAACATTGTAGTCATATCATCAGGTACTTCCCTGTGTTTTGGACATCATGCAAATAAAGCCTTAGGGAGAGACATGAACTCAAAAGGATCATGTTCAGAACCTCCACAGCAGATGCATCTTCCAGGAGCTTTAGTCAAAAGGCTGTTGGGAACTGTTGCAACAGCAACTGGAAGGTTGTCGTCCATAAGTGGAAACCAGCAGTAACGGAAGACTTCAATTTGGAAACGGAGGCCTTGAGGGCTTGGCTGTCCCCGAGAACTCCTGAATCAGCGCACGGTTACCCAATGACCAAAAGGACCGACACTTCTGTGGTTGCAGAAGCAATGACCTGAGCATGGGAGGAAAAAAATAATAAATCACTGAGTAAATGTACATTTTAGCAGCACGATCACACGTCTTCTGTAAAATAGTTTTAACGATAAAAACAACAAAACGGCTCATATGATTTGCTTAGCATGCGTGCACGTGTGATTATGTCTTTTTTTATGCACATTTGCCTGCATGCGTGTCCTCATGGTCTCGGTTATGAAGTTGTGCTGAGGCCAGCACTTCCTTTATGCTTGCTGTAAGTCCCAGGGATTTTGGCCGAACAAAAACCTCTCCAGGGAATAAAAAGGCCTTGAATGCCTACTAATGCTGTCCCGACCTCTAACCAGGCTTCAGCGCATGTGTCCCTACACTCCAGCATGGGCTCAAACTGTTTGATACAACATTACGTGGTAGTAATGACTGAGGACATAATTACCCATCGTTATACATACACCAGTTTTGAATAAATAAAAATGTTAGTTTTAAATTTAGCAAAATAAAACCCAATATTTCAGAGTATAACAAAATCGACAGTAATAGAATTTAAACATAAATGATGGATGGGATTTTATTTTAAAGAAAGAATTCAAGGATTAGCATTTATGTTGTTAACAGTTGTCTAATGACGTTACCATCAGGGACATACGCAGAGTAGTTTCCTTACCTCACCTTCAAAAGGAACCAGTTTAGGGCAACTGGTTAGACTGCTCTCTAGGGGTTTACCAGGATATTTGACTTGGACATGTTTTTTCTGGAAGACATTGAGGCAAAGGAGGACTTGGGGAAAAAACGTATTGCTTGGAACTAGGAATGTCTCAATGCTCCTCCGAGTAGGAGAGGAGATGGCTGGGAAGGACGACTCTGGATGGATGGAAAAATGGATGGATGAACAAATTTCCTGTATTTTTTTTTTTTACTTCTTTCATTCAACTGGTTGGTTAATAGTAGTGTTGGTATATTTTTGTGATCTTATTGTCTGAACACAATAAAAGGGCATTACTTTGATTTGTTGTTTTGGTTCACATGGACAGCTGAAAATGTTATCCTCTACTAAAAAGTTCAGCATTCTTCCAGTTTAATTAAAAGCCACCACACTCTTTACCAGGTGGGTTAAAGGTTGATTTCCTAAACTCAACTTTACTAACTTAGGACAACGTAGGATCCTGCAACCATATAAGAGTCAGAGAACTTGATATACTAAGACCATAAATATATAAAACGTATAGATTTAAGATTTCAAGTCATAATAAAACTCCAGCCAGTTCAACTGAACAATAACCTTCGGCTGTAATGCTTTCTGTTGCGCAGCGGGTCCTCTTAGTGGACAAACTTTGACACGTCTTCAGAATCACAAGCGCACAGTCAAAATAAAGACAGTAGTTCACACACTTCACAATGCAGTTCTGATTTTACATTTTATTCGCCAAAAAGCCAAACTCGGTTTAGTGTTGTCCAAAGTTCACTATGAATTCATCTCTTTTGTTTTTAGTCAATTTCTGTTGGTGTTTTCCTAAAGTCTTCATTTGCTTTGAATGCATTATTGGTGGCCATTTTGATTATTTGGATTCCTAATCCTTGCACCCCATCATTGCAGAGGTGATGTTTGCAGGTTGGGGGGCGATCCTGCCCACAGCCAGAATCTGAGGGCTTTCATAGAGATAATACTGTGAGCCTTTGAACAGTTTGATTCCATCTGCACCGCACAGACCAGCATCAATGTCGGACAGAGGTAAAGGCATATCTTGGGCAATAACCCTGGGTGTGGTGGTGAGCACAATGTCCCGCATCCTACGTCCTGTTGAAAGAGATACAAGAGTGTCCGTTAATCTAAGATCAAGCAAACAGTTGTTTCATCAGTAACAGCAAGTCAGAAATTTGCAGCTGCCCAGATGGACGAGTCAAATGTCTTCTGGAGAAAGGTTTTAAAGTCAGTCAAGACAAAAATTGAGCTATTTGGCCATACTGACAAGAAGTCTGTTTAGAGGAGTCAAGGTGAGGCTTTCAAACCTGAACACTGTACCACCTGTCAAACATGGCAGTGGTAGCACCATGCCATGGTACTGGTGCATTGTACTATGTGGATGGAACAATGAAAAAGGAGGACTATGATACTTCTAACGTCTTTAACCTAACCTCAAATCAACCAAAGGTTGAAACAACTGGGTGCTGTAACTAATTCCTCTGTGAAAAAGCAATAATTTGAAGTACAAAATTAATGACGTTTACGATGAATGGCTGGAAACTTACCTCACATGTATTTGATCTTTTTAGTGTCTGCTCAAGAATTAGAGATCAAAACATACCTTGAATTATATGAGCTATGCGTTCATTTGGACAAACAAAAGCAGCATCCACATGGCCCTCGATGCCCAACTCCTCCTTGACTGTTTTTGGGTAGCCTTCAATCAGGGTGAAGTGAGCGTCTGCCTTATAAATGTATACCTGATCACCCTGCAGATGTTTGGACAAGTAAAGGACATTTACATTCATTTTTGTCTCAGTTTAGTTTCCACAAAGCAAATAGGAGGGACTGAGAATGAGGTCTACCTTAATCAAGTAGACTTTGTCCGTGTAGGAGAAAACGGCATCAACACCGCTGGTCAACTCTTTCCATCCTCTGGTTATTGGGAAGGCGTGAAAGCCATCACGGTGGGTGTCCATGCGCATATAGATGGGACCTGAACAGGTTGAAGAACATTCCAAGTAAAGACAAGTTCAGACCTAAAGAAATTTCTCTAAGAGCCTATTAGTTCAGAACAAAACTGTGTTAGAGGCAGGGTTTGGTTGAGTAGAACGCTAAAAGTTTTGAGACCACCATAGAGCTTAGCACTGAAGATATGGGGTTCAAACCTTAAACTGACCACTGGAGAGACAAAACAAGCTGGTCATGTATTCAAGAATAAAAATATTCCAAAACTGACATGGCAGTTTGCTTTAGGATGTGTTAAGATATGTTAAGCAGTCATACATTTGACCAAAGGTACCGCCAACATTCTCATCTTATGTGGATGAGTCTGAGCAAAGACAATGGGTTTAAGTGTAGTGCCACACCAATTACCATTCTTAAATATTGCAAAATATCCACCCATCATGCTTGTATTATTGTATTGTACACAAGACCAATTAAAATAGGTCCCATACTGAAATCATACAATTCCAGTACGAAGGTGAAAGCTGGGGATTCATTTTATGAATTTGTTGAGAGATTTGTTCTAAGATTTTAAACTACAACAGCACTCGTGTCTTTGTTGTGTTCACCCATAACACATCCCATTGTGCCTTTTAATTCAAACCTAAAGTTTATTTAGTCACAACTGTGTAGGATACTGGATATGCAATACCTCTGTTTGGCTCAAACACTGTAAATATGGAATAATGACTTTTGGGAATTTGCTCCAACCTTAAGGCCTTACTGACGTTGATGGTAGTTTTCCAGTATGTTAAGTCCTGAATCTAAAAATATTTATAAATGATTCCTTGAGATTAAAGTGGTCTCCTAAATAATCAAATGATAATAGTGATGTTTCTTTAAACGCATCATTCATTCTTACTAACCCCGTGGACGTCCAAATGCTCACATAGCAAGAAATCAAGGTTACTTTTGACTGGAATCAGAAGAGTGTTTAAATAAGTTGGAGCTCTCTTCCAGGTTTAGGATTGCTGTCACAGATGTTCCTAGTTAATTTCATATTCTTACAGGACAAAAGGCCTGACAAGGAGACGGGAGTGTGTGATCTCTCCTGATCCAAGCAGATGTTCTCCATCTCCATCTTCATAAAAATACATAAACAAATACATCTTCTAACTCTTATTCGCAGTCAAGTTGCAGAGGTAACAGGTGCAGAAGAAAACTCAGACATTCCTCTCCCCAGCATCAAATTCCAGCTCTTCATGGGGGACCAGAGGTATTCTCAGGCCAGAGAGGATACACAATCCCTCAGGCGAGTTCTGTGTCTGGCCCGGAGCCTCCAACTAGTAGGACGTGCCCAGAAAACCTCCAAAGGGAGATGCCCATAATCAGATGCCTGAACCACCTCAACTGACTCCTTTTGATGCGGAGAAGCAGCGGTTCTACTCCGAGCTCTCCCTGGATGACAGAGCTCCTTATCCTATCTCTAAGGCCGAGCGTGGCCACCCTACAAAGGAAGCCTTTTTCGCCCACTGGTGTCTGGGATCTTGCTTTTTCTATCATGATCCAAACCTCATGACCATAAGTGAGGGTTGGAACGTAGACAGACCACCAAGTTGAACGTTTTACCTTTCAACTCAACTCTTTCTTCGCCACAAATGACCAAAGCAACACCTTCATTACTGAGGATGAGGCTCCAATACATCTAACCATCTCTCACTCCATCCAGCCATCACTTGTGAACAAGGCACCTCGATACTTTAACTCCTCTACCTGAGGCAATGACCCCTCAACCCAGCACAGATGTTGAATACTCTTCAATCAGTTCTTCTGGGAATCAATAGTGATACTCGCTGGTACCACCCAATGTCGGGGACATCCAAACCTCCTTTTGCACTGGACAACTGCTAACTTAACTATTTTAGAAAGGGTGTTCTTTTGTTCCAAATCGACCAACCATCAAGTATTTTTTTGTATCTATGAAATGATTAATGAACATTTTGATGTTTTTTTTCCAACTTTTTGAAGTGGGTTGTGCAAGTGCCATAGTGATTGCTAATTTTTCCAATTTTTGTCCCAAACGGAAGTTTAGATGAACAACAATAACCAGTCTAAGCTAGCATTTTTTTCTCCAAATGTTTTAGTTTGCACTTTTACAGACATTTTCCAGGTTGAGTATCTGTTAAATAGCATTTCCCCTGCAGTTCTATAGCACAAATTAGAAGAAGCCTTATTTGTTACCTGAGAAGAAGTAAGTTCTGCCTGCATCATCTGTGGTGACCGCATCAAGTTTAACGTTGCTACATTTTAGGGGCTCACGATTGCCTCCATGACCTGCAATTAAACATTAAATAATACAGGTGTTTACAAAAACATTCTGCAGTCAAATATTTGCTACAAAACAATGCAATTTGTTGAACTCACCAAAGTTAGGGCAGCGCATAAAGTAATGGCGAGAGTCTTTGGGATAGGAGCCGCTCACTTCTCCTGTCATTGGCTGGAAGCGGGTGAAGTTGTGTCCGTGGAAGCAGTAATAGTGTTCCAGCCATCGGAAAGCAGAAGTGCAGCTGGGCAGGTGGGACCATGGCTTAGTCTTCACTGTTTTTGTGGTTATATCATAAACATATACATCTTGTCCTGTAGAGGGGGAAATGTATCTTTGCTAGGAGGAAGCCAACCAATTTAAATCTTATACGCTTTGAGGATGCTGATGGAGAAGTACAGAGAGGGTCAGAAAACATTTCTATGTGTCTTTGTGGATTTAGAAAAAGCATATGACAGTGCCGAGGGAGAAGTATGAGGAAATCTGGAGTGGCAGAGAAGAATGGTAGACTGGCACAGGACATGTATGAGGACAATAGGACAGTGATAAGATGTGCTGCAGGAGTGACAGATAGCTTCAAGGTAGAGGTAGGATCTGCTCCAAGCCCTTTCTTGTTTGCTCTGGTGATGGACCAACTAACAGATGAGGTCAGACAGAAATCCCCGTGGACCATGATGTTTGCAGATAACATTGTGATCTGTGCTGAGAACAGGGAACAGGTGAAAGATAACTTTGAGAGGTGGAGGTATGCACTTGAAAGAAGAGGAATGAAAGTCAGCCGTAGTAAGACAGAGTACATGTGTGTGAATGAGAGGGAGGCCGGTGGAACAGTGAGGCTACAAGGAGCAGAGGTCACAAAGATGCAGGACTTCAAGTACTTGGGGTCTACTGTCCAGGAAAATGGGGAATGTGGTAAAGAGGTGGAAAAAGAGAGTCCAGGCAGGATGGAATGGATGGAAAAAAAGTTTCAGTAGTGATCAGTGACAAAAGGGCGTCAGCAAAGGGCAATGGAAAAGTTTACAGGACAGTAGTGAAACCAGCTATGTTGTATGGTCTATTACCAGAGACATGGACAAAAAGACAGGAGACAGAACTGGAAGTGGCAGAAATGAAGTTAGCAAAGACAAAGAGACTATATATAGATGCAGTTAAAAAGTGTATGGGGTAGATGGAACGAGGACAGAATGAGATGGAGGAGGACTAGCTGTGCCAACTCCTGAAACGGGAACAACTGAAAGACGACATCTATATTAAATACTGACGTCCTGGTGCATATTCAATAATCCAGGTAGATGCATCTTTCAAGGTTAAGCCAGGTCATCTGGATGAATTCTTCTTTGTTGAAATGTTTTGTCTTATATCCAAATGAATGGACTTCATCCATGGATAAAAGACGAAACATTTCAACAAGGAAGAATCCGTCCAGAGAACCTGATTAAACCTCGTTAGAAATACTGATATCCTTTTGCGCATAATTATACTTTTAACAATAGGTTAGATATGAGAGCTCTTTAAATGACCTGAGTTTAAAAAAATGAGTTTAAGACCCCATCTAGACCAGATAATCTTTAAAACTGACACTGTTGTCGTTTATTGGCATGTGTCTACAGTCTAACAAAAATGCTGAATCACCCATGCCACGCCACTAGGAAGCAAAAATGTTCCGCTTAATGACTCAACAAAATGCAGACAGAAAAAAAAAAAAAAATCTTGCGTAAGGATTCTCCCAGAACAAGTATGAAGTACATACCAGGAATGTACCAGGTAAATACCAGGTCCATATCTGTTTTGGTTTCTAAGAAACAAAGTGATAGTGAGCTTGCACAGAATAGGTTACAATGTTACGGTTTCTAAAAAGCTGTCTCTCTCCTGTCTACATGGATCCACCTGAACCTGAGGTTACAAAATCTCCTATGATCTTGTCATAGCTAAATACACTGCTCAAAAAAATGTAAGGACCACTTTGAAAATGCATCACATCTCAATCCATACTTGCATGGAATATGTACTGCTCTAGGAACAAAAGGACGCCACAACATTCGACGAGAATGAAAATTATCAACCCACAGAAAGCTTAGATTGAAGTCACCAAGAAATCTAAACTGAAAAACTGCAACCATTCTGCTGAAATGTCATTGCAGCAACTCTAAATGGTACTCAGTAGTTTGTATGGCCTCCCCATGCTTTTATACGTGCCTAACAACGATGGTGCATGCCTCTTATGAGACGACGGACAGTGTCTTGAGGGTATCTCCTCCCAGATACAGACCAGAGCATTTTAGCTTTTTTGAGTAGTGTATTTTCAGCTGTGACCACAACATACCTTTGAAGAACAGAACTGAATCGGATATGCACTCTCCTTTGGGACACTCCACAGCAGCGTCCAGGTGAGCTGGAACTCCAGGGAAGTCCTCCTGGATTTCCTTTGGATACCCTTCTTCAAGAATTTGGTTGAAGTAACTGAACACTTTGTCGTCCTGTAGATTTGATGAACAACCATGGTGAAAAATTAGCTGATATTTTAGACATCCCCGTTCTCAAGAGTGATGGAGTCCAAGAACCGTACCAGGAAAAGGTAGATGTGATCATGGTCGTCTGGATTCTCCGCGTTGTGCATGCGAAAAGCAGCATCTACGTGACCATTGAGCTCTCTGAAGTACTCACTGGAGAGCTGTACTGGTCCATGGAAACCCTTCCAAATATGACCATCTGTGAAGTATATTTAAAACAAACAACGCTGAGTTTTCTTGTAGGTACAAACACAAAACGTGCACTGTTTTAGGTGTTACCATAGGTAGTTTACCGAACGAGAAACTGAAACTAGATTATTGCTAACCCTTTTGTGAAAAGAGCTGTTCCTACCTTTGAAGAAAAGCATATTTCCCTTCTCATCAGGAGTGATGGCATCAAACTCAATACCTGAGCACCGGTCTGGCACAGCAGCATCTGGACTCCCAGTGTTAAAATAACATATATATTTATTTTAATGTAAATAAAATTGGATATGATTCATTCATAATTATATATGATCCTAGGAGAGCGTTGCATGGACGTATTAAAATGTTCTATATAAACTCACCGTTTGCAGAGTCCTGCCTGCGGATAATAAATAAAAAGTTAGTTTTCTCCTGTTCTGTTATTCAAGAGATTGAATTGATCGTTAAAAATAATGTTGACGATGCAAATAAATTGGGCCTCTTCGACCAGTATTGCGTGACTCTTCTGAGTACTCACAGTGGTGCTGCCTGACTGAGGGTGAATGTGAGGCACAGAAACAGAGCTTTGGCAGACAGCTTCATGTTTTTCATCCTGCTGAAGTCCTCAAAGGCGGCGTAGAGCCGTGGAGGAGCCAAACCTGGGCTTTTATTCTGAAACTTGTGTTTGTGACGTGATGGGGTGGACATGTTAGGAAACTCGGAGCTTGCAGGAGATTGGTAGCGTGTGTTTGTACAAGACATCAAGGTCAATGTTCTGTTGTTGCAAAATGACGAGATTTAAGAGCAATTTAGACTTTAATATTCATTCTTTATTTTGTTCTTTACAGATGTGACAATATACATGCTAATATCTTGAAGCGAGGTGAAACAAGTTATCTCTAAAACAGGAAAATTGATCAGTTTGGTTAATTATTTACAAAATGCTCGTTTAAATCAAAAGCTACAAACATCCATTTGTTCCATTTTTCTGTTTGGTTAGATTGTGTTTGTTTTTTTTAACCCACTGACATTTGGGAGCTTTAGCAAATTAAACAATGAGATCAAGAAGAGAAAACTGAGAAAAGTCCAGAATCAATAAAATTGTGCAAGATATAAACATAGTGCTTACTACTCAGTGAAACTATTACTACACAGCCATTAAACACCACACACCACATTTGATTTGATAAAATAAAAAAATATTTTCACATAGGAGCATGACCCCAACACACACACACAAATAAAATAAATAAAAATTTGTTATTCTCTTCAGTATATATATTAAAAGCAAATCACAAGGTATATTTAAAAATGTGTTATTCTATGTTCTATAGCAACTCTAATTTTTTTTTTTACTATGAGAAGAATCAAAGTGTTCTCTCATTTGCAACCTCATCAAAGATCATTGCATATTAGTTCAAACCATGTAAGAAGTCTAAGATGTTTACATATTTAAAGTCAAAGTTCTGATTTTTTATTGATGTAGGGTTGTCTAGAATGGTTATGAACAATGAATATCTTACCTGTTGCTGATAGTTCTTGGAATGGTGGAAAAATAGTTGATCAAATATTTAGTTCAGCACCAAAAACAAGGTGAATCACTGCCCTCTTAAAAATAATTCTAAGCGTTAAAATTTTATAGCGTTTTTTTTTCTGCCATTTTTGCATTATGCAGTGATTCACTTAAAAAACTGATTTACGAGTGCAAACAGCAGAAGCAACCGCTAGTTGTAGCACTTGTGGTACAGCCTGCGGCACCGCCAGCTGGTATATTATATTTTTGCTGGAATAACCATTTCATGCAGAACAGGCAATGATGTAAAAGGTTAGCCCTCCTGCTGCCCTTGGGCCAAAATAATCCACAAGGACACCGTGTTTTAAGACTGACACCTCATGGGCCGCATTGACCCAAGGGTAGCAGCAGGGTTAAAAACAAAAATTCACGTGAACTGCTAAGAAATCTTTGAGACTGGAGTCATTTTGGGAAGGCAGCAATGCACTGATGTCCAGGCCTCACTCACACTAGCTGTTAGCTCATCGGTCAGGTCAGTATTAAACTGTTTTTCCAAACTGAGGTTGTTCAAAGAGGTATCCACAACCGGAAAAATATTCAATGCTCACAACTTTCTCACAGAATTCCACTTCAAAAGTTTCAAATTACCCATTTAAAAGCAATCCATTGCAAAACTGTTCATATTGCTTTTAGTTTCTGCCTCCATCATCAATTGCAGTTCCCTTGTAGCGATAGATCTTGATGCAGTGATTCATGCTGTCTGATATGACCACATGTCCATCAGGCAGAAGCGACAGACCTCGTGGGCTGCTGAGGTTGTCAGTAATAAGAGGCCAGCCCATACCTTTGGATGGATATATAAGCACATGGTGTTTTTGTTTCCCCCAATCAGCCACCAAAACATCCCCATCATCATCTATACAAAGACCCCAGGGACAGGTCAGGATAGGCCCAAGGCCAGAGCATACCCCCAGGATACGGATAGTGTTCCAGCCTGGTTCCAGGACACGAATGCATGGAACACGCCCAGTTTCATTGCCACGTTCTGATACTGCCATAAGCCCAGTGGTGAGGCAGGCCGCCACCATGTAGGGTCTGTGGTATCCAGTTACCATTGTGCGCTCTAACCTTGCTCCTGTTTTGGGATCTAATTTTAAAGCAGTTAAGGTGCCACGCTTGATGTCAGCCACCAAGAACTCATCTTGCCCTGTAACAGTGATCCCTCTAGGCGCATCCAGCTCTTCCTTGGTGGAACCGACCACTGTGCCTCCAAATGTTTGCAGGAGGCGTCCATGTCGACTGAACACCAGCACAGCTCGTTCAGCAGCGCAGGTTAAAGCAATCAGGCCCTTTGAATTTACAGCTACATCAAAGTAGTTGCAGATCCGGGAAGACCTTTCTGATCCTGAGGGAGACACTTGCTGTACAACATTCTTCTGTAGATCTGTCACTTGAATTCGAGCGTTACCACAGTCTACCACAAACAGCTGCCCTCTGACAGTTGCATGGAGACCACTTGGCAAGTTGAAGTCAGTTCGGCCTGATCCTTGTTTTCCAAACTGTTTGACCAAGCAAGCTGAGTTGAGGGAAACTAAACTACCTACACTGTCTAATTTCGTAAATGCTGCCTCAACACTCTCTTTCTGGTCCTTGTTGTTTCCTTCTACTCCCTTATTTTGATGTAATTTTTCATCTTCAATGGCTGACATAGACTGAGATCTATTGACACGGTTCCCACCTAAACTATGTGTGCCACGAGTTTGAGATCTTGACTGTCTTTCATGAACGTGTTTTTTATTCTTGTTTGATTCTGTACCATTTCCTTGACCTTGCTCAAAAGTACAAGTAAGACGCATTCTGTTGACTTTCCTAATTTCTCTGCACTCAGTCTTGTTACTATCAATCAAAGGAAGCAGTTTACCAGAAAGGTCAGCAGTGGAAAATGACCTGTAGTGGTCTTGCTTAAAAGATTCATTCGATGGAGTATCCAAGGTATAGGTGTAGCAGGAGTCTTCACTGTCTACTGGAGATGGAGGGCCTCTACTGTCCATTGAAGTTTCATTAGAGGTTTTCTTCTTTGAGAGGCTTTGTTGTGAAGACGTGAAATGCCTTGTAGAAAGGTCTACAAGACTATGCCTAGAGAGTGAACCTTTGCACATAGTTTTTGGAGATCTTACTGCATTGTTTCTTCCTTCATCAGTTTCTTCTATAGAGCAGGATGGCTCTTCAGATGACACCAAGATGAAGGTTTTTTGCCTTCTTCTACCTTTCATTGTATAGCGTCTCTTTGTTTCATTGTGTCTGCCATCAGTGTCATCACTTTCTGATTCTGCTTGACTAGAGACTGGTGGAATAGACAAAAAAAAGTCTTGTCCCTGTGTGTCTGAACAGACAGATTCAACCTCTTCATCTTGAGAAGATTCAGATGCACTGCAATGTCTTGGTATGGGAGACTTGCGTGTTTTAAGCTCTTCTTCATTTTCTGTAGAACTGGACAGATGTAGTTTCCGGACAACACGCACATTCCCTAAAGTAGTTTTGTTGCCGTCCTCCAGACTGCACTTTTGCCCCCCTCTATTTGATAGTGGTTCCTTTCGAATTTCAAAAGGAGTTATGTTTGAAAATGTTGCGTCATCAGAGTGCAATGCGCACTTCTGTCCTTTGACACCACAGACACCAATGTGGTAAGTCATGCCCTGCTCGCAAATATCAACCTCCCCCAGGTAAAAAGTCTTGGACTGGGAGCTAGGTAAGAAATGAACCCTTTTCAGTGTGAGAGAGATTTCCCATGGTTGTGTGACCTCTGCCACATCTTTTTGGAGCTGATCCTTGTTGCATCCACTGGAAGTAAAACCCCATCTTTGAATCTGTTCCCTCAGTTGTCCAATTTTTCGAAGTTGTTGGTCAACAAGTGTCTGCAGAACTCTCACAGCTGCAGCATTCTCTCTCTTCACTTGACTAAGTTGTTGCTGGGCTTCTCTGTGGTCCTGCTCCACCTTTTCAAGAAGGCGCCTCTCCTCCCGCTGAGCTTCTATCACAGCATTGTCCAGTTCACGGCTGACTTCCTCAATTTCGGCTTGCTGTCGCTCCCTGATGCTCTGAAGTTCTTGTTCCCCTTTTTCCAAGTTTAAGATTGCCTGTGTAACCCATGGTGGTGGGGAATTAAGAGATTGTGGGGTAAAAATGGACTCCCTTGGGGTATAGAACAGGGGAGGCGAGGGGGTCACTTCGCGCTGACTTGGAAAGCTGTATGTCAGCAAGGCTGTCAATCCAGGGAGGGCTTTTCTTTCAGAGTGGGACCTCAATAACATTGTGAATTGTAGATTTAAGAATGTGCTGTTAAACTGTTCTCTCTTTTTTTGTCTGCAAAAACAAAAACAATAGCAAAGGTCATGTGACTGAAATTGTCTGTGCACATCAAAATACAAATAACTGGTGAAATAATCATACTTGTGTAGAATATCCAGATCAATAAAGCACTCTAAAGAAATAATGCCACTACAACTATTGGCATCTTGCTGTCAACTCAAATTTATGAGAAAATAGGCAAATTTTTAGCTGTAGTTTTCCTGAATTCAGGTTTTTGGAACCAAGTGACCAACATGAAAGAGCATTTTAAGAAGTTCTCATCTTTTTGTTGCCCATGTCTGTTCACATCATACACACATCGGCAGCCACTCCCATTTTTTCTCACTTAAGTCTACTAGAATACATATTTGAAATAAAGATGAGATTTAAACCTGTTTTTAAATTATTATTATTATTTATGATTAGCATGATTTTTAAACTTGGGTATTTAGAACTGGTTTGGGACGCTTGCGATAACTCCACAACTATCTTAAAAGAAAGCATCCTGAACATCTTCAAAATTCCTGCAACAAGACTGCGAGTCCTTGTGTCTCGTGAGAGAGCCGAGAACCTTCGCAACCTTTTTTTTTTTTTTTTAAATTTGGAGACTACCTCGTGAATACTGTCCACAAACCAGTCAGTCACAGCCCAGTGAGATCCTGACATAAGGCATTACAAATTCAAAGAAGAACTTAGTGAAAACTTTACAGTTAATAAAAAAAAAGCAGATCATAGAGAACATTGGCATTTGTACCAAAACTGAAAT